CCGCTGGTCCCTCTCCGATGGGCCCCCACCACCCTGATAGGCCCACAGCCCCTCCCCTCAGCCAGCTCCAACCCCAATCAGCCTCCCCACTCCAATCGGGGCAGGGCTGGCCGGCCAACCACCCATGGCCCCTCCCCCATGCCTCTGACCCCTGATTGACTCCCCCACCCCATTTGTGGGCAGGGCCTGCTGGCCAATTACCTGCAGTCCCTCCCCCCAGCCAGCCTGGCTCTGATCAGGCCCTAATCATGGCAGGCCGGCCAACCTCCCACCCTCTCCTCTGAAATATTAATGTTTATTGACACTAGTATTATTATATTTAAAATCTTTTTTTCTTGAAATATTAATGCTTATTGCATGTAACATTATTATATTTAAAATCATTTTTCTTGAAATATTAGAGAAACTATTTCCTCAAAAAATTAAAAACAGTTTCTCTTTCTGAGAGTTCATTATTGGTATGCCATCAATTTCTGGGTGTTAATTTTGTATCCTGCTACATTACCAAATTCTGATTTTGTATCCTGCTACCTTGCCAAATTCATTTAAGTCTAGTAGTATCCCAGTGGAGTCTTTAGGGTTTTCTGTGTACAATATCATGTCATCTGCAAATAATGACAGTTTTACTTTCTCCTTTCCAATTTGGATACCTTTTAGCTCTTCTTATAGATGTGGCTAGGACTTCCAGTACTATCTATATATATAAAAAGGCAGTGACTGGAATGCTCTAACAACCAGAATGACCAGTTGCTATGACACCCACTGTGGCCAGCCAACTGGCTCGATCCGGGGGCAGGGCCTGCCGGCCAACCTCCCTTGGCCCCTCCCCCGAGCCGCCCCACCCCTGATTGGCCTTTCCCACCCCCATCAGGCAGCGGGGCTGGCCAGCCAACCTCCTGCAGCCCCTACCCCTGGCCAGCCACACCCCTAATGGCCTCAACACCCTAATTTGCCTGCATTCCCTCCCCCTGATTGTTACCCCACCTCAATAGGGGGCGGGGCTGGCCATCCAACCTCCTGCAGCCCCTCCCCGCACCTGGCCACACTCCCGATAGGCCCCCACCATCCTGATCAGCTGCAGCCCCTTCCCCTGGATGACCCCAGCAGCCCCTCCCCCCACCTGGACCCACCCCACATGGTCCCCACTCCAATCGGGGCAGGGCTGGCCGGCCAACCACCCATGGCCCCTCCCCCATGCCTCTGACCCCTGATTGACTCCCCCACCCCATTTGTGGGCAGGGCCTGCTGGCCAATTACCTGCAGTCCCTCCCCCCAGCCAGCCTGGCTCTGATCAGGCCCTAATCATGGCAGGCCGGCCAACCTCCCACCATCTCCTCCCAACAGGCCTGGCCCCAGTTCGCCCTGATTGGGGCCAGGCTGGCGGACACCACCCGTGCACAAATTTGTGCACTGGGCCTCTAGTGTTGATTAAGATTGGTGAAAGTGGACATCCCTGTCTTGTACCTGTTCTTAGGGGAAATGTTTTTAGTTTTTGCCCATTACTATTATGTTGGCTGTAGGTTTGTCATAAATGCCCTTTATTATGTTGAAGTATGATCCCTCTATTCCCACTTTATTGAGAGTTTTTATCAAAAAAGGGTGCTGGATTTTGTCGAATTCTTTTTCTGAATCTGTTGATATGATCCTGTGGGCTTTTCTTAATCTTTCAATTTGTTTATGTGATGTGTCACATTTATGAATTTGCAGATATTATACCAGCCTTGCATCCCTGGAATAAATCCCACTTGATCGTGTTGTATGATCTCTTTAATATGTTGCTGGATCCAATTTGCTAATATTTTGTTGAGGATTTTAGCATCTATGTTCATCAGGAATATTGGCCTATAATTTTCTTTCTTTGTAGTGTCTTTTTCTGGTTTTGGGATTAAGATAATGCTGGCTTAATAGAAAGAGCTTGGAAGTATTCCTTCCTCTTGAATTTTTTGGAATAGTGTGAAGAGGATAGGTGTTAGTTCTTGGAATGTTTGGTAAAATTCTCCTATAAATCCATCTGGTCCAGGACTTTTGTTTGCTGGACATTTTTAAGTGACTGCTTCAATTTCATTGGCTGTTATTGGCCTACTCAGGTTTTCTGATACTTTCTCATTGAGTTTTGGGAGATTGTATGTTTCTAGGAATTTGTCCACTTCACCCAGGTTGTCCAGTTTGTTGGCATTTGGTTGTTCATAGTATTTTCTTACAATCCTTTGTGTTTCTGTTGTGTCCGTTGTTATATCACCTCTTTCATTGACCCTATAGTGTGGGTCAATTTCTGGGGTCTCTGTTCTGATCCATTGGCCTATATGCCTGTTCCTGTGCCAGTACTGGTATGTATTTGGGTCCTCTCTTTGTTTCTTCATGAATCTGGCTAGGAGTTCATCAATCTTGTTTATCTCTTCAAAGAACCAACTCTTGGATTTATTGATCTTTTGTACTGTTTTTTAATCTCTGTGTCATTTATTTCTGCTCTGATCTTTGTTATTTCTTTCCTTCTACTTCCTCTGGACTTTTCTTGCTGTTCTCTTTCTAATTCATTTAGTTTTAGGGTTATATGGTGTATTTGTACTTTTTTTCTTGTTTCTTGAAGTAGGCCTGTAGTGTTATGAATTTCCCTCTCAGGACTGCTTTCACCGTGTCCCATAGGTTTTGGGTGGTTTTGTGTTCATTTTCATTTGCTTCCAGGATGTTTAATTTCTTGCTTGATTTCATTGTAACCCATTCATTGTTTAATACCATGCTATAGAGCTTCCATGTATTTGAGTGTGTTTTTTTTTTAATTGTAGTTGATTTCTAACTTCATGCCATTGTGATCCAAGAAGATGCTTGGTATGATATCCAATCTTCTTGAATTTGTATGAACTTGTTTTGTGCCCTAACATGTGGTCTCTCTTTGAGAACGTTCCATGTGCACTTGAGAAGAATGTATATTCTGTTGCTTTGGGGTGAAATGTTCTGTAAATAGCGGTTAGAGCCATCTGATCTAGTGTGTCACTTAAGGCCTCTGTTTCCTTGTTAATTTTTTGTCTGGAAGATCCATCCAGTGATGTCAGTGGGGTGTTGAATTCCCCTAATATAACTGCATTGGTGTTAATCTCTCCCTTAAAATCTGTCAAGAGTTTTTTATTTAAATGGTGCTCCTATATTGGGTGCATTTATGTTTACAAGGGTTATATTTTCTTGTTGAATCATTCCATTTAGTATTATGAAGTGGCCTTCTTTGTCTTTTGTTATGGCCTTTGTTTTGAAGTCTATTTTGTCTGGTATGAGTATTGCTACCCCAGCTTTTTTTCCCTTTCCATTTGCATGGAACAGATTTTTCCATCTCTTCACTCTCAGTCTGTGTGTATCTTTTGTTCTGAGGTGGGTCTCTTGTAGACAGCTTCTGTATGGGTCATGTTTTCTTATCCATTCAGTCACCCTATGTCTTTTGACTGGACCATTTAATCCATCTGCATTTAAGGTTATTATTGATAGGTATTTATTTATCCCCGTTTTTATTTTCTTTGTGCCTATGATCCCCTCTCCTCTTTTTCTTGTTAAAGCAGTCCCTTTAGCATTTCTTGCATTGCTGGTTTGGTGGTAATGTACTTTTTTTTTGGTCTGGAAAGCTTTTTATTTCACATTAAATTTTATTTTATCCTTTTAAAAATATTTTTTTATTGATTTCAGAGAGGAAATGAGAGGGAGAGAGAGATAGAAACATCAATGACGAGAGAGAGAATCATTGATCTGCTGCCTCCTGCACACCCCGTACTGGGGATCAAGCCTGCAACCCAGGCATGTGCCTTTGACTGGAATCAAACCTGGGACCGTTCAGTCCACAGGCTGATGCTCTACCCACTGAGCCAAACCAGCTAGGACTCACCTTAAATTTTAAATGATAGCCTCACTGGATACAATAGTCTTGGGTTTAAGCCCTTGCTTTTCATTACTTTGAGTCCTTCATGCCTCTCCCTTCTGTCCTGAAGTGCTTCTATTGAGAACTCAGTTGACATTTTAATGGGAACTCCTTGGTAGGCTTGTGGACTGGGTGAAGATTCCCTAAGCAATCTGTATATTAAATATTCGTAAAAGTATATCTCTTATTTTTAAGTAAAGTAAGTATAAAGAGATGTAAATATTCCCTTCTTGCTCCCACTGGATTGCCTGGCACACCCAACTTTGGAGAGAACTAGTCTGATTTGGGGAGAGGAGAAGGAAGGAATCGAAGGATTTTCAACCGGCTCCTCTCCCCCAGCTTTGCCTAGGAACGGCCGTCCCTCATTTTCCCCAGCTGGTCTTTCTGTTGTGTTCACAGTTGGAAACTTCTGTTTTAAGGTCCAGAAAAGCCATGTTTCCTGCTGTTGATGGCGTTCCCAGAATAGGGCATTGACCTGGGTTCCCATCCTAGACAGAATAAGAAGCAACCGTGTTTCTAGGCCAGGGTGTAGCCTGCAGGAAAAAACGGCCGCCTGGTATTGTCTTGTGCTTCCCTGAAAATGGGAGGGGAACCAAAGCTCTGCTGCTAGGGCTTTCCTCTCTCATCCTGGAGGCCAAGGAAGAGGCCCTGATTGTTGGTGTGGGAGGTTCTCACGTAAGTAGTGTGTCAGAGACCAGAGGGGAAGCCGAGCTCCAGAGTCCAGGCTATGAGACGCTGGGGTAGCCCCGTGTGGGCAGCTGCTCGTGCACCTGCCTTTCAGAGACGTGAGGGGTGCGGGCCATGCGATGGATGGGGAAGGGGAGAGGGGATTACTCCACTGATTTTGCCTGAATGATGGTGGTTAGGGGCTGCTCATGCGCAGTTCCACTTGGGAAATGGGCAGAGTTAACGGAATTAGTTCTATTTCTTTGAGCTTTCTAAAAATACATCTTTGAGACCAGCCAGGGTTTAGAATTTTAGGTCAGAAGGATTTTGGGGAAAAAAAGAAGAAGAAAAGTAAAAAATGAATAAAGTCACATCTAAGAATAAAACCTGAGTTTACAGCCCTGATTCTATAATAACAATGCTGATACTTAAATGGTAGCACGTGTCAACAGGCAGCGTGTTTTGAAAGTCTGAATGTTGTTTGTTGAGTGAAAAATATCCACTGCTTTCTCTGGACTTAATGTTCATGAAATAAGACTCTATACCCGTGAACGCTCAGGCTTTAAGCTTTTGCTGTTTGATTGCTCCTTGATTCAGGGATTCTCACTGTCTGGTCGCAGCTGTATCCCCAAAGCTTAGGACAAAGCCTGGGACAACGTAGGCAGGTGCTCGGGAAACACTGAGTGAAGGATGGTGGCGAGCAGGCGCCGGGAAAGGCTGTGAGAAAGTGGAGGTGTGTCTAAAGCACAGCCCTGCGCTGGGTTCAGGTTGGCACGCACACTAGACTCACACGGAATGAAATGCACTTATCTGCCAAACATATGATCTCGATTTTGAGCATTACAGTGCAATATCTTTTTAGAATATATTTTTACTGATTTTAGAGAGGAAGGGAGGAGAGAGGGATAGAAATATCAATGATGAGTCACTGGTCAGCTGCCTCTTGCAGGCCCCACACTGGGGATCGGGCTACAACCTGGACATGTGCCCTGAGCGGGAATCGAACCATGACCTCCTGGTTCATAGGTCGACGCTCAACCACTGAACCACATCGGCCGGGCTCAACATCTCTTGTATGTTCCCTAATTACACTTTGACATGGCATAGGCATGTGTATCTGACCTGGCGATATTGACAGAGAAGCAGGCACACAGGAGTTGTGGCTAAGGTGGGAGTGCTTGCCACAGAGCAGCCTCCGCCGTGTGTGTGTGTGTGTGTGTGTGTGTGTGTAACTTGGACTAGTGGCCGTAAACAGGAAACTCGGCTTCATTGAGGTGCAGTGTATAGAACTATTGTGAGTCAGAGTCATTTGTTAACTTCCACAGGCCTTTTCCTTCGAGAAGTGATGTGGAAATCTTGGGCGAGGACCGGGAACTCTCAGATTCTTACTGTGCCCATTGATACATTTCTAACAATGAATAATGATAAGAGTTATTTTGAGACTCCAAGCAAATGACCACAGCCATTTAAGGATGAATGACCCTTTTAAAAAAAAAGCTTTTCTAATAGCTGTTCTGTTTGTGGACATTGGCCAAGATCTAGCAATGAATGTTTAGGTACCAATCGTTGAAGACAAATGTTTTCCTTTGAAAAGTCAGATTCCCTCTCCAGTGAGGAAACACGGGTCCTGGCTCCCGCCGTGCTGACAGGCGTTGGAGGCACTTCACCTCTCTCAGGCTTCACTTCTTCGTCTTTAAGTTTTGAATATAAACCCTGGAGTGTAATTCAGAAGATTGAGCCAAGCGAAGCGTGGGGGCCACCCCTGACTCCCGAACTCCTGCTGTCTCGGTCCCAATGCCTCTCTGTGATGTTGAGTCACTTCTCTTCTCTTCTCTACACTGAGGGGCGGGGGACACTCTGAGTGTTTGTTTCTACCCCCCTTTCAGTGCAGTGTCCTCCTCACTGTAGGCAGTTTGAAAAGTTGAGTAAAAGAATGCACGTTAAAACAATAAAAGAGAACTTATGGCCCAGCCGGTGCGACCTATGAACCAGGAGGTCACGGTTTGATTCCCGGTCTGGGCACATACTCGATCCCCAGTGGGGGGCGTGGAGAGGCAGCCAATCAATGATTCTCTCTCATCATTGATGTTTGTATCTCCCTCTCTCCCCCTTCCTTTCTCTGAAATCAATAAAAACATATTTTGAATATTTAAATGAAAGAAAGAACTTAGGGAGTAGTGCCATACAACCTCTAGTGTCTAGAATAAGGTAGTGTTTATATTGTGAATTCAGTTGCAAAGTATTATATATGTGAGGCTTTTAGTTAAGGAGAATCATCAAAAATGTTGGCAACTAGGAGAGACTGTTTTTTCTCATCCTTCTGAAAAAGTGTAGGTCGCTCCGTGGCCTCTGGGTGAACATCGGCTTGTCCTCTGGGGCCTCCATCCTTGGAACACAGCCCTTTTCAGTTGTTTATTTGCACAGTCCTGCCCACGTCCCTTTTAGCCCCTTTTATTACATTTGCTGTTTCCCATGTGACCGGGCTAACATTAGCCGTAACACAGTTCCGAGCGTGGCCCCGTGTCCTGCTTATCTTTCCGTTTCTCGTCTTTGTCTGGCGTAGCGTCTAGCAGGGAGTATGATCAGCACCGGTTTGCTGTGTGGATGGATGAATAACTGCACACAGAGCCTCCTTGCTCTCTGTCTGTCTCCCTCGTCGCTGATTTCTATCAGTGTTGGTCCTGCTTTTGTTTATTCATGTTGTTTAAAAATACTGGACCTCAAGTGCAGCGTTGGCTTATAGACTAGGCATGACCCTCAGTTATGACATGCTTTCATTATCGGTCCTTGCATGGTCTGCTTTAATATACATGCAGGTGGATGGATTTAAAATAGCATAACAAACATTTATGAACTCGCTACCAAAACCCAAACCAGGGCCTTGATAATAACTTACGCCTAACCATATGGTTTCCCAACTCCTATTTCAGTTTCCCGTAACCTGGGGTAACCATCATCCTGAATCCTTTGTTAATTTTTCCTTTGCTTTACTTTTTTATTACATCTCTATATATTCAAAAAAAGTAAGTGCTCTTAACTTTGTAAAAAGTATATATCATGCTTTATAAACTCACTAGAGGCCTGATGCACAAAAATTTGTGCACTCGGTGGGGTCCCTCAGCCCGGCCTGTGCCCTCTCGCAGTATGGGACCCCTCAGGGGATGTCCACCTGCTGGCTTAGGCCCGCCCCCCGGGGGAACGGGACTAAGCTGGCAGTCAGACATCCCTCTGGCAGCCTGGCAGCCCTTGGGGGATTTCCACTTGCCAGCAGGGAACAGGCTTAAGCTGCAGTCGGACATCCTTAGTGCTGCTGAGGAGGTGGGAGAGGCTCCCGCCTTCACTGCTGTGCTGGCAGCCGTCAGCCTGGCTTGTGGCTTAATGCTCCTGCATTGAGCATCTGCCCCCTGGTGGTCAGTGTGTGTCATAGTGACCAGTCATTCCCAGTCGTTCTGCTGTTAGGGTCAATTTGCTTATTACCCTTTTATTATATAGGATGTTATAATGCTAACATTCACCCATATTGTCCGTGTTGTTGTGTATGTTCACTTACTCACTATTGTTCCTATACTCACTCATTGTGTGCATATACTGCTGTTGATGTAGTCACATTCCTGTGGCTGGAAAATTAGGTTAGTCCCAGGATTTTGCTCTTGTGTGCAGGACTGCTATGAATATTCATGAGCATGATGCCATCAGATTTTGGGTTATGAGCTTGAGAGTAGAATTTCTGGGTCATAGGAAATATGAATTTTTGACTTTAGGAGGTAATGCCAAAACATTTTCCAAAGTCTTTTTTTTTAAATATATTTTATTGATTTTTTACAGAGAGGAAGGGAGAGAGATAGAGAGTCAGAAACATCGATGAGAGAGAAACATCGATCAGCTGCTTCCTGCACATCTCCCACTGGGGATATGCCCTCAACCAAGGCACATGCCCTTGACCGGAATCGAACCCGGGACCCCTCAGTCCGTAGGCCAACGCTCTATCCACCGAGCCAAACCGGTTTCGGCTCCAAAGTCTTTATACCAATTCATACTCCTACCATATCCTTTCCAATACTTGTTATTCTCAAACTTAAAATCTGATCCTATTGAATGGGTGGAAAACAGGATAGCGCTGTGGTCTCCCTGATCACTAAAGATCGTGATTGTGAACATTTCTTCAAATGCTTATTTCATATATTTTTTAAATTTAGTTTTATTGTTGAAAGTGTTACAGATGTCCCCTTTTATTCCCCACCGACTCCCCTCCAACGTGAACCCACTCCCTCTCCCTTCCCGCACCCCCAGGCCTTCACCACACTATTGTCTTTGTCCATGGCTGTGCATATGTGCATACAAGTTACCTGGCTGATCTCTCTTCAGATGTTTATTGACATGTATTTCCTCTTCTGTAAAATGCCTATTCCTACTTTTGCCCATTTTTCTGTTGAACTGTTTATACTTCTCTTATTGATTTGTAGGAGTTTGGGATATATTTCTTAAATATGTATATATTTTTAGTCCTGACCTGGGGATATATTTATTGATTTTAGAGAGGGGGGGAGGGAGAGAGAGAGAAACATCAATGTGAGAGCAATATCAATCAGTTGCCTCCTGTACGTGCCCCGACTGGGGATCGAACTCCCAACCTAGGTATGTGGCCTGACTAGGAATTGAACCTGCTATCTTTTTGGTGTACGGGACAATGCTCCAATCAACGGAGCCACCTGGCCAGGGTGGGACATATTTCTGATGAGAATTCTTTATTGATTCTATGTTCTTCGTTTATGGATTCTTGTGTAACAAACCACCCCAAATTCAGTGGTTTTGAACAATGACAAGTTATTATTATTTTTCTTCTTACAAGTCTATGGGTTGACTGGGCTCAGCTGGGTGGTTCTTCTGTTTCATGCAGTTCAATTGGGGTAACAGTTGCTTTCAGCTGCTGGCTGGGATGGACTAGCTGGGATGGAAGGCTTCACGAACACGTCACACGTGCTCTTCCATGTGGCCTCTCCGTTTGGCAACCTCGGGTTCCTCACGGCGTGGTAGCTGGGGGCAGTTGGACTTCTTCCCTGGAGGCTGGCTTCCAAGAGGAAGGAAGCAGAGCCTGCAGTTCTCTCAGCCTTGTGCTGGAAAATCCAGAGCGGTACCGTTGCTGCAACAAAGCAAGTAAGAAAGTCAATCTGGATTCAAGGGGGAGAAGAGCTTCCAGGGTAAGAGCTCCCCCTCTTGGTGGTGAAGTGGCCGATACCTGGAGAGAAGGACTGAGGGCAGGGTCACTGGACACTGTCTGCCACTGTGTATTCTTTTAAAAAAAGTATTTTTTATTGATTTCAGAAAGGAAGGGAGAGGGAGAGAGAAACATCGATGATGAGAGAGAATCATAGATTGGCTCCTCCTACATGCCCCACACTGGGAATCGATCCCGCAACCCAGGCATGTCCGGGAATTGAACTGTGGCCTCCTGGTTCATAGGTCAACCACTGAGCCACGCTGGCTGGGCTTTCTTTCTGTTCTTTAAGGTGTCTTTGATGAGCCAATATTCTTAATTTTAATATGGTCAGTATTTTAATTTAATATTATCTTTTTTTATATAATGCTTTCTGAATCTTGTTTAAGAAAACTTTTCTTACTCCAAGGTCACCTTTATTTTTTAATAAGAGACTTTAAAGTTTGATTTCTGACATTTAAGTTCTTAATTTATTTGAAGTTGGTTTTTGTTTGTGGTTTGAGTAGAAACCTGATTTTATTCTTTTCCATTTCATATGTATTAGTCCCCCCTTTCCTCCTGACCCCCCAGCCACCTTGTTGTATTCTAAGGGTTCTAAGCTGCATGGGCCTGCTTTTGGCCTCTCTCTCTGTCCATTGGTCTTTCTCCGTGTTAATTATAAAAGCTTCATAAGAAGCCCTAATACCTTGAAGGGCAACTTCCTCCTCGCTGATCATCTTCATCAATACCCAGGATTTTCTTGGTTCTTTACTGTTTCATGTAAATTTTAGAATGATCTTGTTGTGTTCCAAGAGAATATCTATTAACATTTTGGGGGGATTGTGTTGACTTTATAGATAAATTTGGGGAAGAATTGATAAGTTTTTGATATTATCTTCCTATTCAAGAAAATTATATCTCTCCCTTAATGTATTTAGATTTTTCCTAATAAAGTTTACAGTTTTCTTACAGTCTATTGTTACAATTGCTCTATTTTATTATTAGTTAACTAGAGTCCCGGTTTCACGAAATTTATGCATGGGTAGAGTCCCTAGGCCTGGCTGGTGATCAGGGCTGATCTGCGGGGCAACCGGCGGGGCGATCAGGGGGCCCCTGCTGGCACCCACCTTGGCTGGCCTGGGGGCTGCTCTTGCATTGAACATATGCCCCCTGGTGGTCAGTGCACGTCATAGCAACTGGTCATTCCACCGGTCGTTCCATAGTTTGGTCGATTTGCATGTTAGGCTTTTATTATATGGGAGGTTGTCAACTGCTTACTGTGCCTAATTTATAAATTAAACTTTATCATAGGGCGTATAGGAGGCTGTGTTTCAGGCATCCACTGGAGGTCTTGGAGTGTGTCCCCCACAGATAAGGGGGGACAATTGTACTTAACACCTCCACTGAGACTGTGCCCAGTGCCAGACACAGAACTTGCACAAAGTAGGGCATAAACAGTGAGAGGATTTGCTGGAGGAAAAGGTCTTTGCATCCCAAGCACAACAGGCTCTTCTTGAGGGTCAGACGGGACAGGAAGCACAGGCTGTAGAAGGTGGAAGCTAAACAGAGTCTGTACCTAAGACACCCGACATGGTGCACAGGGAGGTGGTGTAAGAGGGAATGCATCGCGGTGACGTCACCAGCGGGCATCTCGTCTTCGTTTTGGCTATCTTTTTAGAACATTGACAAGACAGTTACTTGCACATAAGAAAGAGCTGTTTTTGTGTTGTTTTGTCCTTTTCCAGGGGCAGTTCTGCGACTACTGCAACTCCCAGGACCCCAGGAAAGCCCATCCAGTCACCAACGCCATCGATGGGTCGGAGCGCTGGTGGCAAAGCCCGCCCCTCTCTTCAGGCACGCGGTACAACCAGGTCAACGTCACCTTGGATCTGGGGCAGGTGAGACCCACCAGCTGAGATGGGACTTTGAGTTAGAAAGACAGTGCAGCTCATGGGGCAGTTTGTTCCTTTTGGGGAAAGGAAGCGCTCGATGCAGAGGACAAAAGGATCACTGGGTTCTGGCGGGATTGGAGCTTCCAGATGCCCTCTGCCCCCCGCCCTCCCCAGCCCTCCCCCAAAGCTCTGACCCTCGTTCTGGAATGAGGCAGCCTGCTAGAGATCTTTAAAGGCAGCAGAATCATAAAAATGCACAGTAAATGGAAGTTTATTTTTTTAAAGAGCCTATTTTATTCCTTAGCTCATCTTGAAAACTACTTTATGTTTCCTCCCTTATGAAACTTTTGTGATTTTAGGCAGATTTAAGTCGTGGCAGTTCTCCTATCAGTGGTTGACAAACTGCGGCTCGGCAAACCGTGGCTCGTGAGCCACGGTTTGCCGACCACGGTCCTAGTCTATTAATGGCAAGCACATATAAGGAAAGACTGGATTTCTTCACAATGGCACCAAGCGGGTCTGAGTTAAATATCATGGTGGGGAGTCCTCACCCGCACCCCTCCTCTGTCTGCTGTATTCCAGTGCAACGCCCCCCCACACCCACTCCTCTGCCTGCTGTACCCCAGGGAGTCCCCCCGCACCTTCTCTGCCCGTTGTACCCCAGGGAGTCCCCCCCCACACCTCCCTCCTCTGCTGTACCCCAAGGCATCCTCCCCCCCACCCCCTTCTCTGCCTGCTGTACCCCAGGGAGGCCCCCCGCCCCTTCTCTGCCCGTTGTACCCCAGGGAGTCCCCCCCCACACCTCCCTCCTCTGCTGTACCCCAAGGCATCCTCCCCCCCACCCCCTTCTCTGCCTGCTGTACCCCAGGGCATCCTCCTCCCCACCCCTTCCTCTGCCTGCTATACCCGGGGGCGTCCCCTGGGTCTTTAGGCCTCTGCCCCTCCCACACCCAGCGACCCTGTAGTCCCTCCACATCATCCACCTCCTCCTTTCTTCCTTTCTCCCCATACCTCCTCTCCCAGTTCTCATTTCCACGATTCTCTCCGCCTTTGCCTGTCACCTCCTCCTTCCCCTGCATTCCTTCCTTTAGGGAAAACTGAAACCAAATCAAACCACCACTTCTCTGTGGTCACTGCCAGCCTCCTGGAGGGGTGTCCCTGCCCTCCCTCCCCAGCCCGCCCAGGGCCATGGCTGGTGTCCGGTTGGAAGAGTCGGGCTCCTGCCTGGCTACAGCTGTGCCCCCAGGCCCAGCCCAGGTCGCCTTGGATGGGGCAGTGCAGGCTCCATCTCTCCAGGACTCCGGCGTCTCTCTCTGGAGGCTTGAAGCACCTTGATTGAGGAGATTGTTTACCTTCGGCATTTCTCAGCATCATAGAACAACCGGAGGGAAGGCTGGTTCTGCACCCTGCCTCTCACAGGCCTCTAGCTGACTCGCTGGCCCTCGCACACCTGTCACCACCTGTTACAAGCATGCAGAGTCCCAGGCCTCCCCTGGAGATGGAGGCGCAGGCCAGGGCCAGGGAGCTGGGAGCCAGGAGCTGTGGCACTCTCTCGGCTTCAGGGTCTGAATTGCACAGAAATAGGAGTTCCGGCTGGTCTCTCATCAGAGGTCCAGGGGGGCGGAGCAGTGGGCAGTCGGCCTGGGGCTGAGGGAGAGGGTGCAGAGCCTGGCCAGGTGAGGCGGAGCCCAGGAGGGCAAGGCAGCCTCCTGACTGTGGGGAGACGGGCAGGGAGCTGGGCACAGGGCAGCTGTTTTGCAAATTCCCGTGTTTCAGGACTGGGCAGAGCTGGACCTGAAAGGGCCTGGTGTTCAGGCAGGTGGGCGACACCCGCTAGGTGGCCCCGGCTTGTCCCGTTAGGATAGGAGGTCTCTGTGGCTTTCACTCAGCCCCTGTGTAAACTCTCTGCTTGATTCCTCCCCTAGCCAGCCAGCCCCTCAGGGCTGGACACTTCCTCCCTCCTCCTTCCTTCCTCCCTCATCAATGATGAGAGAGAATCACTGATCGGCTGCCTCCTGCACACCCCACACTGGGATGGAGCCAGCAACCCGGGCAGATGCCCTGACCAGGAATCGAACCATGACCGTATGGTTCGTTGGTTGACGCTCAACCACTGAGCCATGCCAGCCGGGTGAAAGGCACATAATTTTAAATTATCAAGTAGAAGAGAATAGCTCCACACTGTGGGTGTCACACGCTTGATCCGGCTGTGAACCCACCTTGGACCCCATTATGCCTTGCAGCAGCGTCATGTTGAGTCAGCAGGTCTCAGAGATGAGCTGTGGAGCTGGATCGCTCGGCGTGAACTGGCTGCAAGTGCCACAGCCACGGAGACGATCCAGAAAGCAGTCTGCCTGTGCAAATGGACTCAGGAGAATGAAAGGCAGCCCGAGGTCCAGGGCACACAGGGCGGACATGGGAGGGGAACGTTTGGAGGGGAACGCCCTGTCCGCAATCAGTGCCAGATGCCGAGTGGGCACCATCAGCGGGCGTCTTCACTTGGGCCCCGGGGGGCAGGCTCTAGAACAAGGGGAGCAGCGCACGTGGGGTCTCCGCCCGCTGCTGGGTTTGGGGTATTTGCTGTGCTGCTTCCACGGGATCACACGTTCCTTCAGAGCATGACGGAGCCAAACCAAGAGCGTGGCCTCCTGAGCCTCTGGGTTCTTCATGGATTGGGATGTTCCGAACAAAAAGGGCACCTTGGGGAACCACTGCGTTAAATAGCCCCGGAGATGTGTCACACCACACGCTGCCCCTCCCGGCTGCTGGGACGGGCATTCACAGGTTTGGAGATGATGATGCTTGGAGCTTTCTGACATTGTATTTCCTCCCCATTGCCAGGAGCCAGTCCATCCTTGATGTTTCAAGGGACCTGGCATATATGGCATACTGTTCTTAATATGTTTGCTCCCCTTAGCGCTATGTGTTTTAACCAAGGTCACCTCTCCGAGAAAGGTTTCCCCAGGTAGAGATTTTCCCCTGAAGTTAGGGAGGGAATAAAACCCCTTCACTAAGTGCCAGGCAGGTAATTAATCTCTCTAACTACGAACAATCATGCTTAAGCTACATAATCTTTACTCCCTGGAATGGAGAGAACTTAGAAGACAGAACCTACACAGAACCTAGAGACAGAAGAACTTCGCTGGAGAGAACATGGCAAAAGATCCTGGACAGAACCTGGCTACAGAACCTGGCTACCGAACCTGGCTGGAGAACCGAGCGAGAGAACATGGCTACAGAACCTGGCTGGAGAACCTGCAGAACCTGGCTGGAGAACCTAGCAAGAGAACATGGACACAGAACTTAGCTGGAGATTGTGGCTAGAGATCCTGGCAAGGCTGCTGATCTAATGAATGCTGTCTCCGTGTCATTCCTTCTTCGCCAACTCCATCCACACCTTTGGGGACCCCTGGACCTGCTGGGGCTGGACCCCAGCACCCCATGATGAAAGAGGTCACGTGTGCAGGACCCATCGGGCCTGTGCAGAGCTGGTGGTCAGTGAGGAGATGCACGGAGGCTCAGGATTCCTCACCTGCAGGACGAGGACACACTACCTTCTCTGGTCACACTCCTCCTCCTCCTCATTCCTGTGAGGCCTGAGTGCAAGCATGCTTGAGGGGGCTTAGCATAGCACCCAGAAAGCAGCAATGATGACATCATAAATCATTAAATAAATAGGGTTTTTTGAGGGAGCCATTAGATTTCTCTGAATGTATGGACTTTAAGATGCGGGGTGGGCCCTAGCCGGTTTGGCTCAGTGGATAAAATGTTGGCCTACAGACTGAAGGGTACCAGGTTTGATTCCGGTCAAGGGCACATGCCTGGGTTGCAGGCTCGATCCCCAGTTGGGGGCGTGCAGGAGGCAGCCGATCAATGATTCTCTCTCATCATTGATGTTTCTGTCTCTCACTCCCTCTCCCTTTCTCTCTGAAATCAAGAAAAAAAAAAAAAAAGGAAAAACAAGATGCTGGGAGAGCTGGTTGGAATTCAAGGGTGTAATGACTAAGGTGTGACAGAGGCTACTGTGCAGATTTGGAAAGTGGCCACTTTAGCCCTGACTGGTGTGGCTCAGTGGATAGAGCGTCGGCCTGCGGACTGAAGGGTCCCAGGTTCGATTCCGGTCAAGGCCATGTACCTTGGTTGCAGGCACATCCCCAGTGGGGGGTGTGCTGGAGGAAGCTGATTGATGTTTCTCTCTCATTGATGTTTCTAGCTCTCTATCCCTCTCCCTTCCTCTCTGTAAAAATCAATAAATAAAATAAAATAAAAATAAAATTACAAAAAGAAAAGTGGCCACTTTGTTTGGACACGATATGCTGGAGACACTGCCCCAGGCAGGGTGTCCAGGAGGCAGGCAGGGCTCTGGTCTGGGAGAGGAGTGGCTGCAGGTGCTGCTGTGGGAGCAGCATCCCGTAGAGTTGGCCCAGGTGTGCACAGACCAGGCGACTGTAGTAACCGTGTCTCCTTTGCTTTCTCAGGTCTTCCATGTGGCCTATGTTTTAATCAAATTTGCCAATTCTCCTCGCCCTGACCTCTGGGTCTTGGAGAGATCGGTGGACTTTGGGAGCACCTACTCACCTTGGCAATATTTTGCTCGTAAGTAACCTTGCCTGCCAGGCTTCAATTATCTGCACAGATTTGGACCTTGGATTTCACTGTAAAATTGGTCTCTTCACTGGCTAATTAAGGATTGGTCAGTTTTAACGTTCGAGGTTACCCCGCAAACAGCCCTTTTTCTCAAGTAGTGCACATTCATCACAAGAACCACGCAGAACTGAGGCTGAAATGCCTGTTATGTTAACAGTTCCCGCCACTGTTTAGGGAGAAGCAACCATTTTCCTTTTATACAGAATTAGGAACCCAGTTTCGCCTTTAGGGACCCTGCCTTTCACCTAATTCACCTTGACCCTGTCGTCTTTGCTAACGAAGAACGTCAGTGTGATGAGCCTTCTGATGAATTGAGGTGGACAGGAATGTGGCTTGCAAAGGCCTTGGGATTTCCGTGAATGCTCCTTAGAGGGTAGACTTGTTTAATAAGGAGGACTTGGAACCGCATCTCCAAACATTGCTTTTAAAAGTCAAGTGGCCTGAAATGGCTCAGTATTTTCTTTCATGACCTAAAAACGTCAGTCTAAGCTTCTGTCTAAAATGTTCAATGCTTGTCTGTTCTTTCCCATTCACGTATTTTCTTAAGGAAATGTAAGATTTCTTCAGAGGTTTACGCAAGGTGATAATATTTTATTTGTTGGTATTAAACTGTTTCCTTTCTAGATTCTAAAGCAGACTGTTGGCAACAATTTGGGCGGGCAGCCAACACGGCCATCACCCGAGATGATGACGTGCTCTGCACCACGGACTACTCCCGGATCGTGCCTTTGGAAAATGGCGAGGTAAGTGGATTTGGGAGGCCGTGAAGGATGAGACCAGAAACGCACACGAGGATATCAAATTCTTCATTTTGAAAGAACTGTGAAAATGCTCTTTCAAGGAGAGCTGATACAGACCACAACGGGAACCAGTACTTGGGACTAGCTGGTACAAGGATCACATCGAAGACTCCGGTCAATGATTCTCTCTCATCATTGACAAGTTGGATGCAAATTCTTGTTATTATTTTGTTATTGAGGTGTAATTGACATCAGACATTCTATTCGGGGTCTCTAACACGCCTCCGGGAGTCAACATTTCAAATTCAAGACCCGTAGGCCCTGAACCCTCTATTCTGTTTTGTTTTGTTTTTCTTTTTCATTTATTTTTTCTTTCTTTTTGAATCCTCTATTCTGGAGGAATATTTAGAAAGTGGGTTGCTGGTGATTGAGGTGAAGCCCTGCCCACTGTTATCCCAGGAGTGAGAGTGAGGAGAGGGGAGGGGCAGCACCCATCCCCGACTCCTCGGGCAGGTGGGCACCCTCTGTGGGGAAGGAAAGGACTGTTGTCTTTGGGAGCTGCGCTTGCCCTTGTGCAGGCAGCCACACTGTTGTTGGAGGAGACAGGAAACAGGTGGGGAAATCAGACAAATTCCAGGAAACAGGCCATCGGAGCTTGAAGTGAGTGTGAAATACGCTTCTCCCAGGGGCGCTCGCCACCCCTATTCAGGTGGAACGGTCTTTGTGAGCAGCTGTAGCCAGTGTCTCACAATGAGTGGTTCATGCCCCATGGTTGTCCAGCTCCTCCAGCTTGAAGATAAAACCCTGGTTTTGTAGGCACTTCATCCCCTTTACATGCAGAGGCTTCCTCTTCAGCCTCCTCTAGGTGTTTAGGTTCCGTCAGCTGTTTCTTTGGTGCAGCTTGACAAGATGTTGTTTCCTTACGTTTATATATTTTAACCTTACACTTTCACTGTGTCACGGCCTCACAGCCCTACAGCTACCCCGAGAGAACAATGGGTTTGGAAGCACCTGAGAGCCCAGTTTAAGGACAGGTTGCCAGAATTCGAAGGGGAGGGGGACTAGCAATGATGCTTTTAGACATAAACAAGACACAAGACCACCTGCACACACCTGGTGGCTCAGGGAGACCTGCCTTCGGGCCTGTGAGTCATTTACAGTGACTTGCAGCAAAGTTTTGATGAAAGGACTTTCCCCGTGTGTGTGTGTGTGTGTGTGTGTGTGTGTGTGTGTGTGTGTGTGTTTATTTAGGTTGTGGTGTCCTTGATAAACGGTCGTCCAGGTGCAAGAAACTTCACTTTCTCCAACACCCTGCGGGAGTTCACCCAGGCAACAAACATCCGCTTGCGCTTTCTCCGAACCAACACGCTCCTGGGACACCTCATCTCCAAAGCCCAGCGGGACCCCACCGTCACCAGGCGGGTGAGTCATGCTGAAGGGCCTACGGCAGCATTTTTTTAAAACTCTTTTTGCTTATCAAATTAATTGCCTTGAACTCTTTCAAGTAACCTTTACAGCCAGGAATAGTGTAGGCGTAGACTTGCTCTGGTCTGAATGATTAGATGTAACTTAGACATCTGGTTGTGGAGGAGAAATGATTACATTCGAAGAAGATGAAAGGCCGGGGTGACAGCTGGCCAGGTGTCAGTCTGATTCTATAACAGACTCCCCAAGGCTCACTTTTTGCTGTCGAAAGTGCTCAGCAGGTGGGGTCGGCTCCACGAAATCACTCAGGGAACCAGGCTCTTTTTATTTAAAGGTGCAGCCACCCTGTAGGGCCCCAGAGTCCTCCTTGGGATCCTCTGCATCTGGTCAGCAGATGCGGGGAGAGAGAGAGGGTGGGCAAGACCCCCAGGCTCCCAACCACACAGGTCACTGCCACTGGCCGGAGCTGTGTGTAGCCCCACCAGATGCAGGGCTGGTGTGTGACCTGGCCAGATAGAGGAGACATGGGTGTGTGAGTACCATGCTCCTCTGTGTGGGGTGTCTGGCCTGCACATCCCTCAGTCTAGTGTCAGGACAGCACCCCGTCTCCTGGGCACAGATGCCCTGAGCTCATTCTTTTGCCGCCCATGGATCTCCTGCCAGGGTCCTCCACTGGCCAAACCCAACAGAAAGCCGGGAGCAGGAGACCCAGTTGCAACCCATAAAGGTCAGCCCTGGGCAAAGGGCAGGTGAAAAAGGAGAGTGGGCGTGGAAGGGTGATGGGAGATGCCCAGCGCATCTTAGAGGGCTTGGCCTCAGAGGTAAGTGCATCAGGGAGCTGGGAAAGGAAGAGAGGAGAGTGAGGTTTGCTCCAGTTTTAGCATTTTTCCAGAAGGCTGCCTTGTGGGTGCGGGGGCTTGTGTTCTGCATTTCCTGTGCCATCAGCATTTGGAGCAGCTGTATGTGGAACCCGTCCTGGGTCCGAGGATGGAATCTGCAAGGGAGAGCTGGGCTATCCTATAAACTCTGGCCGGACTGCGTCTCCATTCCTCCGGGCGTTTTGAAGCCCTGCTACAAGTGGACCTCACCACCCTTTATTTATTTATCTGTGGGTGTGTGTTTTTTTTTGGGGGGGGGTGGAGGGGTTCCAAGATTTGTACTCACATGTAAGCATATTTCCCTTCACTGAAGTGAGTGAATCTTCTCTATTAAGAAGCATTGTTAAAGAATATGTTTTTATTGACTTAGAGAGAGGACGGGAGAAGGAGAGAGAGAGAAACATCCATGTTGAGAGAGAATCATTGATCAGCTGCCTCCTGCACGCCCCACATGGGGGATCGAGCCCACAACCCAGGCATGTGCCCCGACCGGGAATCAAACCTGACCTGGCTCATAGGTCGCACTCAGCCACTGAGCCACGCCAGCCGGGCTTAATCCCTTTTTAAAAGGCTATAGGGTATGATTCTTCCCAAGGCAGTTTCCCTCCATTCTTTTAAAGCATTTCATTTTTAAAAAGGTACAGATTCTGCATCATGCTGTTAAATTTGATTGAGGAATGCACTTGTTTCATAAGACAAATAACACCCAAGTGGCTCCCGTGGGGTTGAGGTGGGCTCACGGGAGCAGGAAGAGAGCGGAACAGGGCCAGCACCGATGCGCCTGAGGGACGGGTAAAGGCTTGCTGCTCTTCTGTAAGCGGCACGTCTGTTTTCTGTCGCACAGTATTATTACAGCATCAAGGACATCAGCGTGGGCGGGCACTGTGCGTGCAACGGCCATGCCGACGTGTGCAGTGCAGACAACCCTGAAAAAGTGTGAGTACCTCGTGCAGCGCTGCCAGCCGGGCTGTGAGCCAGTCCAACTGTTTCAGTGATGGTTGCATCCCATTAAGTATCTCTCATTCCCACCTCCACCCGCTCATCCTCCCACCAGATGGTGCCCCCGGCGGGCACAGCCCACTGATTGGAGTTGCCAAGAGAAATGGAACTGGTTTGTCATCCTTGCTTTAGTGGGGTCAAGGGTGTACATGTTCAAATCCTTCTCCCTCCCTCTTTTTTATTTTGGTAAAGTGCACATAGAGTTTAGAATCTTTTTAAAAAATATATTTTTACTAGAGGCCTGGTGCATGAAATTCGTGCACTGGGGGGTGGGGTTCCCTCAGCCCAGCCTGCCCCTCTCACAGTCTGGGAGCCCTCAGTGGATGTCCTACTGACGGCCACAGTCTGGCAAGAGGCTCAGAGCAGGCGTCGTGTGTGTGTGTGTGTGTGTGTGTGTGTGTGTGGGGTGTGAGAGTGTGTGTGTCTGCTGGGGGCCTGCCCCCAGCTTTGCCCACCTGGGGGCTGCCCACCCTCTGCACTTGCCTGCTCTGGGATCGCCATGGGGTCCCAGCTGGCAGCAGGGCTTAGGCGGCACACGGGGGTCCCGGCTAGGGCGGGGATTAGGTGACACATCGCGCCGCCTAAGCCCGGCCGCCCAGGGCTGCACACGGGGGCCCAGATGGCGTCTGATGCTGGCCAGCCCTGCCTGCAGTATGCAAATTAGCCACCACCTCTAATGGTGGCTAATTTGCATATGGCACTGATTAGCCAATGGGAGGCGTATCGAAGGTACGGTCAATTACCATGTTTGTCTATTATTAGATAGGATTGATTTCAGAGAGGAAGGGTAAGAGAGAGAGAAACATCAATGAGAGAGAATCATTGATTGGCTGCCTCCTGCACGCCCCCTACTGGGGATCAAGCCCACAACCCAGGCATGTGCCCTGACAGGGAATGGAACCATGACCTCTGGTTCATAGGTTGATGCTCAACCACTGAGCCACGCCAGCTGGGTCCCACCAGTGTTTTCATCTCGCTGAATCTTGTGTCCACATCTGTAAAATGCAGACAATAGCAGGGCAGGGGAGCCGTGAGTGATCCATGCAGAGTGCTTCGTTTCCATAATTACTCAATAAAGCGTTCTCTGGGTGACCCTGATGACTGAGGTTTCTGCCAGGAGACGCCAACCTTAGTGTGAACCCCCAGTAACCAATGCGCTTCACCTCCTGCCCAGGTTCCGATGTGAATGCCGCCACCACACCTGCGGGGAGACCTGTGACCGCTGCTGTGCCGGGCACCACCAGAGGCGCTGGCAGCCGGCCACGTGGGGGCACAGCCATGAGTGCGAAGGTGAGTGTGGGGGCGGATCTGCGGTGAGGTTTGCCCAACACCCCCATCTCTACCTGTGGACCCGCCCAACACCCCCATTTCTACCTGAGGACCCACCAACACTCCCCCGTCTCTACCTGAGGACCCACCCAACACCCCCATCTCTACCTGAGGCCTGAGCCGTGTTTTCCCTGCTTGTGAAGAGGGGTGATCACGCCAATCTCAGGGTCACAGGTCTTTCTAGTGTAATGAGTAACTCACAAGAGTGGAGGTGTGAGGGCCCCACTCCAAATTCAGATATAAATGTGAGAACAGAAATAACAATGGCCCGGCAGGATGGCTCAGTGGTTGAGCGTTGACTTATGAACCTGGAGATCCTGGTTCGAGTCCCAGTCAGGGCACATGCCCAGGTTGTGGGCTTGATCCCCGGTGGGGGGCCTGCAGGAGGCAGCCAATCGATGTATCTCATTAATATTTCTCTCTCTCCCTTCCTGTCTCTAAAATCAATGAAAATATATTTTAAAAAAGAAACACCAGCAGTAATAACGTTTACTATGATTAGGCGTTCACTCAATGCAAGGATTGGGCCGAGTGCTTTAACACAGCTGGCCTCTTTACCAGTCTAGGACACGATGCAGCCACTATTGAATTTCAATCCTCATCATTTCTTAGGATGTGAAACTGGGTTGGAACCCTCACTCTTTTGAGGACCGAGGTCTGGAGAAGGTGGTGAGATTGGCGGCTAAGCAGAGAGCTAGGCGCATTGAGGGAGCAGTGGGGGTTTGAGGGTTAGGGTTAGGGTTACAGACTGGACTTGGTGTAAAAGTCCCTAAGATTTCCCACTGAGTGCCCCTGGGGTCCCGGAAGAGGCGGTGCTGTAGCTCACTAAGCAGCCATGCTCAGGGGGCGGGTCATGCATGGGGTGAGACTGACTGAGCCTCCCACAGCCATGATGTGCATTCACCTGGGGTGCCCTTTGCAGCCTGCAACTGCCATGGCCACGCTGCCGACTGCTTCTACGACCCGGACGTCGAGCGGCAGCAGGCGAGCCTGGACATCCGCGGCGTCTACGCAGGTGGAGGGGTCTGCATCAACTGTCAGGTGAGGCGCTGGGCAAGTCGAGTGGGGGTGTCACTGTAGGAAATGACATCATTAAGCTCTGCTCCCCAAAAGATGCCAAGGCCGTTCTGAGCATTGGAAGTGTTTTCTGGAATCACCTCTCCACTCTGTGCACCACGTCCTCGTGAGCTGGCCGTCCCGTGGGGTGGAAGGGGACACGGACTGAGGCATGTTTGTCCAGGCGCCAGCGATCAGGTTCCTTACGTGATCCTGGTCTAAATGGGAGAAGTCCTGGCTGCTCCAGCTCATGGTGTGAAGGCTCTAAAGCTGGAGGGAAAAAGGGTGCTGACCTCAGTGCTGGCCCTGCATCCTCTGTTCAGACAGTTTTGAATCTAGACTCGGCGAGAAAGGGCAGCAGGATCGAGTACTGATGTCTCCCTTCGGCACCAAGTATGAAACACTGACTTTTCATCTTTTCTGGAGGACAGTGGGGTTCACTGGACATTAGCCAAGAGGAGGGTCTAATGTCCATGAGTTTGGACTATGCTGTCCCTCAGTCCTGGTGCTTTTAGAGTGATGCTTTGTCAAAGTCGCCATCAAAGAGATCGTCTCTTCGTGAGGTGCCCATTTCTATCAGACCAGGGCCACACCGGCCGAGAGAGACCCACTGCTCTCCCCCACCTCCCACTCCCCACACTCCACAGCCTGTCCTTGCAGGGAACTAAAGTACAAATAAACGGTGAGGCATAGGTTTGTTCAAGTCGTAGGGAGGGTTTCATGCATAAGAGAGGTCCCGGGATCTGGTCAAGCGATGCACTCCAAGGCCCTCAGTAATGTGTATGGAATTAAATTGAGGAAATAAATTTGTTTGAGATTAAACTGTGGAAATGGAATCGCGGAAGCACTGGGGGACGGGTAGGTGGGATGCTTCTCCAGTGAAGGGCCAGCCCCTCAGTGAGTCTTTAGCACACGTCATTCATGCTCTTCCTTCTCTCAGTCACACTACGTTTTGTACTTTGCGGTTCCAGGAAAACATCAAGATGGACTTTTATTTTTTTCAGAATGGCCCTGCAAAAGCATTTTTCTTTTGTATGTAGACGATTGAAGTCTTGTTTAGGTTCATTGCATTTTTTTCCAACGTGAATTTAAAATGCCTTTGTTTAAGTTAGGTACTTAGCAGTTTATTTTGAAATGCATAAAGTAAGATGGACTGGTGGATGGATAGGGAACGAGAAGATGGATAATTCTGTGATAAAACAAATACAGTAAAATCTCTACATAGGGCATGCATAGGTGTTCACTGGAAAACTTTAATTTTTTATAATAAAATGGGGGAAAGAGCAATGAAAGAAGGCAAGGAACACACCATTTTTTGGGGGGTGTTTGACTCTCTTTAATAACATATTGATATTCTTTTTTAAAATATATTGTTTTTGATTTCATAGAGAAAGGGAGAGGGAGAGAGAGATAGAAACAAAAATGATGAGAGAGAATCATTGATCGGCTGCCTGGGGGAGAGTTCCAGGTGGAGGGGACGGCAGGGGATGAGCAGGGGTGGACAGGTCAGAGGTCAGAGGCCAGGTCGCGGCCGTAGGAAGGGAAGTCAGGCTTTGCAGGAGAGTGTGGCCAGCAGTAGCCAGCAGCGGTCTCCATGTCCTTGAAGTTCTCAGGATTGGACATCAGCAGCGTGTGGGTTGGTCAGGGACTGAGCGACAGGGAGGTGGGTTTTACCTGAAGATGGAAAGCACCTCAGAAAAGGTTTGCTTAGAGGATTAGGACGGAAGGATGGTCAGAGCAGGGCTGGGTTTCTGGGTGAGCGTTCCTCACTTCTCTGGGAGGAGCCAGAGGAGGGGTGTCTGTGGGGTCAGTTAACTCCTGCCCGGATTCCCTTCGTGCCCAGCCCGCTCCTTGGCTTGACATCTGCAGTTTTCTCGTTGTGTTAAGTGTCAGGTAGATGCAAATTCAGTGCCCACTCCCCGGGGAGGCGGCTTCTCAGTGCTTCCTGTAGAAACCAGGGAGCCAAGATCTTTAGGTCTCCATCGGCCTTGGTCCAGCCATGACCTTGGGCGCCCAGAGGTCACCTCTGGGTGCGGTGTGGGCCCCGTAGGACACCTGCGACCTGGAGGCCGAAAGCAGCATCAGCCATCTTCTGGCATCTGTCGTTGTCTTCCCGTTGCTTGTTGCTGTGTTTTGTGTCTTAAAACTGCACCTTCTCTGTGGCCGGTGCTTCATCGCCCGAACTTTGTGGGAGAAGGGAAAGCCCGGCTGCCCACTTCGGGGGACGTCTCCTCATTTCCTCTCCGACGGGACACACTGGGAGCCCAGGCTGCCCCGTGTCCTGGGTCTGTTCTCAGCCACAGAGTCGAGGGGTGAACTGGCCTTGGGTGGGAAGGGGGTGGGCCACAGCTGTTGCTTGTTTGCCCCAATGCGTGCACATCTAAGTGTGAAGTCAGAGCAGTGGCCCGCGTGGTGTTAGGCTCAGTGTCGAAGTGCATTCAGAGTTTCGCCCACGGGACAAGGAGTGGTAATAACTGAACGCCCGGAGTTAGGGAAATCGTCTGAGACGGGGAGAGGGGACAGAAAGGGCCTTGTCCTCCCCTCTGGGCTTCTGCGCAGCCTCTCTGTGGGTCCGAGTGTTATGGTGGTTCTTTTTGACTCCCAGTCGCCTCTCCTTTTGTTCCTGAAGGAACAGCGTCCTCCCAGTGGTTCCACGCTGGAGGCAGGAGAGGCAGGGCTGAGCTGGGCCCATGCTGGGTGGTCCTTGGAAACGGGTGACGCATGTTGCGTAATTAGGTTCTGTGGCAATTAAGAGGGTTAATCATGAAATAGAAAAAGCCACCTCGTATTATCCTTTAAAACGAGTTCTGTGTGGGAGGCTCCTGCCTACCTTTTCCGTTCACGTAACAGACGTGTTTGGGAAGCGGTTCCATGACTAAAGCACAGGTAACAGGAGAACGGCGGGAGGAGAGGATGAGTGTGTGTGCATGCGTTCTTCCCGACACCGAGAAGATGAAAACACACGTGACTGTTTACTCCCTGGGCTAAACAAAGGGTCATCTACTGTGCGTCCTTCTGAGTAAACTTTGAATTGTGGTCCTCTCTCACCCAAAGGCCAGGTGATTCATTAGCAAGTCCCTGTGATGGGGGAAAGCTGGGTTGTCCAGTTCATGGAACTTACTCTCATTTCCTCTCCAAAGGGGAAAATCCACGGCCAGTGTGAGCCAGGGTCCTGTGGTCTTGGAGACTCAAGGCCAAGATCAGTCCTTTTTTGTCGTGTGCGTGACTTTGAAATTGCAAGTGCACACGACAGTCATTCCTCTGGATGAGCAGTGTGAGGTCGGACCTGCTCAGGGCCCTGCCTCTGCATCTCTCTTTCTTCCCAGCACAACACGGCGGGCATAAACTGCGAGCAGTGCGCCAAGGGCTATTTCCGCCCCCACGGCGTGCCGGTGGAGGCCCCCCACGGCTGCATCCGTAAGTTGCATTTCAACCCGGTGCCTCTTGGGCGGGTGTGCTGCTCCGGGGAGGCCACAGGCTCCGTTCCCAACAGCCACTAGTCCCTTTTTTCCCTCTTTCTTCATATTGTTGGTTGACTCCTTCCTGTGTGACCACAGGCAGTTACATAACCTCTCTGAGCCTCAGGTTTCTTATATATAAAAATAGAAATGATCATATATTCCCTAAGATTAAGTGAAATGCTCTCGAAAGCGCCTGGGAAAACACTAACCATTGGGATATCACATTCTGGGCCTGCAGCCAATGGCAGCACCTCTATTTCCTCGTTTCAACACGTTTCTTTTTTAAAAAAAAATGTTTTTATTGATTTCAGAGAGAAAGGGAGAGAAAGAAACATCAATGATGAGAGAACCACTGATTGGCTGCCTCCTGCACGCCCCCTACTGGGAACGGAGCCCACAACCCAGGCATGGGCGCTGACTGGGAATTGAACCGTGACCTCCTGGTTCATAGTTTGATGCTCAACTGCTGAGCCACACCGGCTGGCCTTGACATGTTTCTATGATGTCCAATAGTTTTAAATTTTTTTCAGAAGCAGCATCAAGACAACATAGGAAAAATTTTACAAGAATTTAGTGATAGTTCTAATATTTAAAAGAGCTTTGATTTATCAAGCGTTTGCTCTATGCAAAGCATTGCCTAAATACTTTCACATGTGTCTTATTTAATAGATTTCGGGCATTGTAGACTGATTCTCCTGTTTAGATGTGGGGAAACTAAAGGGCCTGCATATTTTGGCCCAGGTGACAAAGCCAGCACCTGGCGGGTCCAGGAAGCAGTTCACACCTGTCTGGCGTCCCCGGGCTCTCCTAGCTCCACAGCCGGAAGGATGCCTCGGCCCTCCCCCCGCCCAAACCGTCCATCGGGGTCCGAGTGCAGACGACTGTCCTGTGTGCGTGTCCCATCGGTTCCTCTCAGTTCTCGGGCTGCCGGGGGCGGAAGATGACTCCCATCCCGAGGTCATCTGTGCCACCGTTTCCCAGTTCCTCCTTCACGTCATTCAGATTTGAAGGCATCAAAGACCACACCGTGTGTGAGCTCTGAGCTGTGGCTCCAGGACAGGCTTACGTGGTCAAGTGTGATCCCGCTTCCCGCCTCTTCCACACCATCCCACGAAGCAACGTGTCCGTCATTTCCTTGTGCCCAATGGGCATCAGCAAAGGGACACGGGCATCCTGGATGCAGTCACACTCTGTCAGGAACCTCAGTTTTCTTTTCTTTTCTTTCTTTTTTTTTTTTGGTTAATCCCCAGCAGAGGATATTTTTCCATTGATTTTTAGAGAAGAGGAAGGGAGAGAGAAAGACAGAGAGAAACACCAATGTGAGAGACACATCGATTGGTTGCCTCCTGCACACACCCCAGCCAGCGCTGGGCAATCTGCAACCAAGAATCGAACTCAGGACCCTTCCGTCCACAGGCTGATGCTCTATCCCAGTGATGGTGAACCTATGACACGCAAACTCATTTTTTTGGTTGATTTTTCTTTTTGACGTAGCATTTAAATATATAAAATAAATATCAAAAATATGTCTTTGTTTTACTATGGTTGCAGATATCAAAAAATTTCTGTATGTGACACGGCACCGGAGTTAAGTTAGGGCTTTTCAAAATGCGGACACGCCGAGCTCAGAGGTTCGCCATCACTGCCCTCTCCACTGAGCCAAACTGACGGGCAGAAACCTCACCTTCCTATCGCTTTTCTAGTTTGTCACTGAAGAGGCCTCCTGGGGGCATCAGGCTTAGCGTAAAGGGTCCACAGGCATGTGCATCCACACAGACTCAGCAAAGGCCTCCAGGGAGCCAGGCTGTGGGCGGGAGGTGCTTGATGCTCATGGGACGTGTACCTGGCGGAGCGATAACAGGGTTTTGTGTCCACGGTGAGGACCTGCGGGTCAAGGGACGCTCCCAAGGGAGGGCACCAGTGGGTCCCTCTGAAACGCTCACCCAGTTAATGTGTCGGCTGCACCAACTGCCTTCAGGGCCGCATCACTCGAATCTACCACTTGGGCTATGGGCAGTCTTGCTGTGCTGCCCACAGATGACATATCCACATCCAGGCATCCCACACACGTGTCCACACCACATCGTGTAAAGTGACCACGGCGTGGACATCCACAGCTGGCTCATGGCCCAGAGAGGCTGTGCCCAGCAGGCCTGCTGGGAGCTCCAGCCCCAGCCCCCCAGCCTCTCCGATGGTGGAGGGTGCAGGTTTCCCTCTGCACAGCGAGCAGGGCAGGGCTGCGTGTGGCACTGCGTCTCGAGAGCATCCCAGCGTGGATGCTCCTTAAGGCTCCTGTCTGAGGCCCTCGGGGCTCCGTCAGTGGGAGCCACGCATGTGGTGGAAAGGACGGACCCTCGAGGATGGCCGCACCCAGGACAGAGCGGGAACGTTGCTGATAGTATCAGGTGCGTTTGCCGTGTCCAGTGCGCGGAGGACTGACGCTCGGAACTGGTTGCTCTCAGCTTGCAGCTGCAGCCCTGAGCACGCGGACGGCTGTGAGCCGGGCTCGGGCCGCTGTGCCTGCCGGCCCAACTTCCACGGCGACCACTGCGAGGAGTGCGCCCCCGGCTACCACAACTTCCCGCTCTGCTCCCGTGAGTGCCTGCGCAAGGGTTCCTCCCCCACAACACACACACATACACACAGGCTGGGCTGTGCATTCACACCCGAGGGCACCGTGGGTGGGTGAGGGAGGGAGGGGGCACAGGAATGGGGTCAAGTGGGTTCTATTTATGTGAAAGTGGCTCTAAATTTTTTAAAAAATTGATGTCAGGAAGGGAGAGGGGGAGAGAGAGAAACATCAATGATGAGAGAATCATTGATCAGCTGCCTCCTGCACGCCCCCTGCTAGGGACTGAGCCAGCAACCTGGGCATGTGCCCTGACTGGGAATTGAACTGTGACCTCCTGGTTTATAGGTCGACGCTGAGCCATGCCAGCCAGGCTGAAAGTGTCTCTAAAAGTTGGAACATAAAGTGTATAAACATATGTTGTGTAGTCTTATTTACCTCCACAGTGTTAGGCTGTACTGTAGACGTTGCCATCTCCTCAGGTCAAAAGGGTAAATGTTGGCAATTTCAGCATAACAGTATCCACACGGGGGACGTTCTCCGTTAACCTGGAGGAGACCACTGCCTTCCAGGTGGCCGTTTGCATGTGCCGTGTGTCATGTCCTGGGACCAGGAGGATGTGTTTCCACTCTCCCCACGTCCAACAGGCCACGTTATCACAGGCCCCTCACCCCCTACGGTGATCTAAGGGGACATCTAAATATTTTTTAAAATTGACTTCAGAGAAGAAAAGGAGAGAGTTAGAAACATCAATGATGAGAATTGATCAGCTGCCTCCTGCACGCCCCCTGCTGGGGATGGAGCCCACAACCTGGGCGCGTGCCCTGACCAGGAATTGAACCGTGACCTCCTGGTCGACGCTCAGCCACTGAGACACACCGGCTGGGCCGGGGTAATTATTAAACTAGCACTGTTGAGTGTCCTAGTCGGAAGGGCACAGTGTATGATCATCTTATGTTTAAAGGAACCAATTTAGGCCAGAACACAGCAGGACCACCTCAGGACTTAAGCAACCTAGAATTTGCAATCAGTGGGTAGAGGCTGAGCAGAAATTGTATTTGCCTGTTTAGTGAAAATAGGAATCTTGAAGTATGGTGAAAACAAAATTTGAGGATGGGGGAGGGGAATCTTGAAAGACAACATTTTCGAAAAGCTTTTCCCCATTTTACAATAAAGGTGTTGAAGTTTCAGGCCGACCTCCTTAGACCGAGACTTAGCTACGTGAGCACAGACGATCTGTTTCTGTGCATTAGCAGACACGCCAGACGCCTGGCCGGCTGGTCTCCATGACCAGACGCGTGTTAAATCCCGTGCCTCTTGGCTTCCCCGGCTGCCCGTCTGCACGTTAGGGCTTCTTCCTCGTTCATGCAGTTTAATATTCTGCTTCCCTGTCTCCCTAATCCTTCTCTGTACTTTTTAATAAAATATCTTTCTAGGAATTCCTGTTTTCCCTGTTTCTGCTCCAAGTCCAGAAGACCCAGTAGCTGGAGACATAAAAGGTAACGATGTAACGGCCAGGAGAATGCGATGCTCCCTCCTCTTTCTCTACTTCCTGTGCCAAGTTGGGGGCGTGGCAGGTGCCTTGAGGCGGGTCCCATGGGAGCTCTCCTGGTGGTTCCTTTTCTTCTGTGGAATAAGAATCCAGGCCCCAGGCAGAGTGAGGGTGGGAGGAGGCCTTGGGGTTGAGGCGGGAGAAGGATGAGGGAGCCGTCCCTGCACAGGGGGAAGGGGGCGGGCGTGGGGAGTGTCCCAGGATTGGGGCAGCACCCAGGGCTCACAGGGTCAGGTGCAGCGCGATCCAGTCCACGTTCTATGCTGTTTCCTGCTTCCGCCCTCCCTCTGCCTCTGGTCGTACGGGGCACCACGTGTCATGTGGAGCGTTGTCTTATGTTTCCATCAGACACGGTCACTGGGGACATCAGCTCTGTCTGACGTGTTTCTAACCCAGGACCGACCGCAGTCCCCGCCCACAGTGCGTCTGAGCAAGTGCTTCCTGGAATGTTGTTGTTGCTGGGATGGGACTGGCCTTGGGCTTTGATTACAAGGCATCTCCCTCTCCGGTCTCAGGAGTGGTTCAGGTCTCCCCTTTGTCATTCAGTCCCCTTTCCTCTGGGAGGAGCGGGAGGAGCGGGCTGGGACGGGGAAAGAAGTTTAACTGACCTTGAAGGGAAGTGCAGAGTCTGTTACGGAATCCCAGAGAAGCCTTGGAAGGCAACCTCGCAGGAGAGGTTAACTAGTGCAGTTGATGGCTCTGGGAAGTGAGGGCCGATGCCGTTCACTCGTGCGTTTTAAAGACGCCGGTCTGGGGCCCAGCCTGGCAGGAACGAGAGAAGCACAAACATCTCCCCAGCCAAGGACATGCTGGGCTGGGTAGCACCGCACCCTCCCGCCCTGAGGATGTAACTCCTTATGGTCCACGGATGTGTCCATGGCTTCTAACAGTGGTTCTCACACAGGCTGAGCTGCGGAACCCGTGCTTTTCCAAGATATAAATCCCTGTGTGTCCCCCCCCCCCCGATCTCTTTTTTTCAATCCTCATCCGAGGATATTTTTTTCATTGATTTTTAGAGAGAGCGGAAGGGAAGAAAGAGGGAGACAGAGATGGGAGGAAGGAAGGAGAGGGAGAGAAAGATGGAAGGGAAGGGGAGGAAGGAGAGAGAGAGAAACATCAATTGGTTGCCTCCCGCACACGCCCCTACCAGGGCTGGGATCAAACTTGCAACCGAGGTAGGTGCCCTTGGCCAGGAATCAAACCCAAGACCAGAGTGTCCGTGGGCCGATGCCCTAATCGCTGAGCCAAACCAGGCAGGGCTCACCCCAGATCTTAATCTAGATTTCCAGGGGCGAAGCCCAGGCTGTTGGTTGAGCAAGTTTCCGGATGATTCTGATACATGTCTCTTCCTCTCGTTAGTCAAAGCTCCCGCTTGGCGTTGGCAGGCTTTCCTGTAAAGAGGCCGGTAGGGATAGTCCAGCTTTGCAGGTGACGGCGCAGTACTCAGCTCTGCTGTTGTAGGAGCAGCAATGGACAGTGCGTCGATGCGTGAACCTGGCGGTGCTCCCATAGGACTTTTGTTACTGACACGGGTGGGTCTGGCACCCAGGCCACAGTTCACAGACCGGGAGTGATCGCAGAATCCCACAGGCACCACTGCCCTGGAAAACCCACTTGCTCAGTCTCAGACACAGGAGCGTTGGAGCAGAAGGACAGAACAGTGTCGCAGATCAGAGCGTTTGTGGGTTTTCACTGTATTTCTTGACCTCGAATATTGTTAGGGTTTTCCAGATCCAACTGCTTAGTTGTATCCACTGAAGGTTGACTTTAGGAAGTCAGTGTAAATAGACACACCTTCGGGGGCTGATCTCGGACACGGCAGGGGGTCCAACACCCACTCCTGGGGGGCACCAGCCTCCATTACGC